AGCAGAGCGATACTATACAAGTGATAATAAACTAATATAATACTTATCAATAATAACATAATAATCTCTCTGTAATACATTATCTAATCGACCTTAGCTGTTATCTTTAACCCATAAAAGTCAAATTGAATCAAAAGCTTTAAAATTATTGGGTTACTTATATTAAATATAAACGTAAAATTATTTCGGTAGGCATGCGAGCTGAGCCCAAATCAGCTATTATTCGATTTGTTTAAATAACAATATCATATAATTTATTTTGTTTTGAATAATTCCTCTCAATGCAGCGTTTGCTTTGTAGTAATCCAGCATTACTTGTCATGGGTATCCAGCCATTTTTTTTAATCTCCAAGCCAAGAAGTAGATTTTTGCGTATTAAAATCAAAGACGCTTCTGCCTTTTGGTATTCAGGCCTATAAGTTAGGTTTTTTGGTTAAATTTAAGATGGTAGAAACTCTCAATTTCAAGTGTATGTGTTCACTGCAACTGCTTTGTATTGTCTTATTTGATTGCCGAGGCAATCTTACCTAAGCAAACTCTACGAATTTCGTACCACAGGAAAATATAAAAGTAGCAAAAGCTACACATCAAGTTAACATACATCTATACAATCATATGTATGTACCTACGTATCTTGCTGATGTACGTACTTGCAAGCAAGCATAACTGGAGTAAATTGATGCGTAGTCATCAACGTGTCAATAATTAATAATAAATAAAAATAGCTTTTTTGATTTTGTTTTGGTCCAAGGCCTCTTTAATACGTTATACATGGAAGTATACCTGCCCATAAAGATTCATACATGTAATATAAAGGCATGTAAGTTTTTCATTACATTCACATATAGGCAAATATTACTTTAACCGTTCTTATCCTTTGCTACATTTTTACACGCGCAATAATAGCCATTTGTGGCCATTGAATAATCCATATTTTGAACTGTGGTTCAAAGAGAAAACACAATAATTTATGTAATAACATCATTACAAGTTCATTGATCGCGGAACGAAAAGATAAATTCTAATGATACCGGTCAGTTATTGTCAACAATTAAACTCTTATTATACCTCTTAAACCATTTTCAATCTAAGAAGCATATCTAACAAATGTAAATAATCTTACGTCATATTTTTTTATTAAAAAAGGCTATTAAATATTTTATTCACATAACTATTTACAAAATGTGGGCTCATATAAAAAATTATATATTGATTCATGCCTACAGCATTTAATTAGATATATAACGAAAATTATAAATTCACATTACAATACGAGTACACAAAGATAAGACATATTTGCTCAAAAGCAGGTTTCATGGTTGACTATTATAAATGGTAACTATTTATTCCCAAAATTCCTATGAAAATGGTAAATATATGATTCCACTCATTTCTTCCACTATTAATGTCATAAGAATACAGTTAAATCTTTAAGCTAAACAGCTGCATTACTAGACATTTGATAAATCACTTTGTCCAAATTTTTAATACTTGTCTTTTTCATCCCTATTATATGTGTATGTGTATGTATGTATATGTATGTTTGCGTAGGTCTTTGCGATGCAATAAATAACTTTTTTTTTGCTTTCAGCGACTAGTAACCACTTACCAATTTGATAGCCACTTCCATTTTCGCACTTTCTGCCTCTACTTTTTTAATAACCAAAATGTGAAAATTATTTTTCTCCAAGGATACTACACGAATATTATTCAATATTTGTTTTGGTTGCTACAAAACTTAATGTATACCATTCAAATAACTTTTTAACCAATTCCAAACGTTATCATTAATTTTTTTCCAATAGATTTTCTTTTCAGTGAGTATAAAACGTAGACGACCAACTATGAAAGAACTTTCCGCTTTTTCCGCACAACGAATACAAGAAAAACTGAATAGCGAAAGAAAATCGTTTAACTGAAAGATGTCGTAAAAAGGAATATCGATAAATGATATGTAGAAGTAAAATAAAGAACAATTGAGAACAGGCATGTTAAACCAGCGAGTGCACGAAATTTACAGATAGAAAACTGGTAGAAAAACTAGATTTTTCGAATATCAATAGCAAATATTCATATATTATCAATAGTAATTATGATACCACATATCTTAAGCAATAATGAGTCAGAGCGAGAATAATCTTAGGTACCCTTTTTTTATCACAGACGTGGCGATTATTGCACAACGAACTATATTAACAGTAGCATATCAAATAAAGTGAAAGGTACTTTGCATGCCAAGTGGCAAGTCTGAAATCATATTAAACCATTATGTCCTTCCGATGCTATTCTAGGTTATCCCAGCAGCAGAGATTGTTATTGATGTTATAGCTTATACGCAAAGTTTTGTTGTAAAATTAGTTGTCATCGAAATCAGTCAACGGCAGGCCCAGGTAATGGGCTGTTTCGGACCATAGGGAGAGGGGTAATAGATGAGTGGGATTCATTAGTCATGTAAACATATTAGATTCATGTGCAGCCTCATTATATGAAGAGCATGGTTAAGGGGTCGATTCTGGAAAAATAGAAGTTTAATCTGCTACAATATTTAGAATTAAGTTGCGCAAGGATCACTCTAGATTGGCGAGGCATCTGTAGCTTTTTTTCTGTTATGGAACCGGTATCTTCTGCCTCACAATGCAGTTTTTAGACGGTAGTCATCAGTACTCATCCTGTTATCTTATCTGTTCTGGCACGACTGAAGCTTTTTCGTCTGCATTTCACTGTATCCATGCAAAAAAATCGGTGCTACGTAGTTTATAATGGGCACACGGGCTGTCATGTGTAATGCCTAAAATCTTAAGGTTGTTGACAGTCGGAATTTGGATGCCATCGACTGTGATATTAATATCCAGTCTGTCAGTCGTGAATATGGTCACTGTGAATTGAGTGGAAGAGAGTGTTACGCTCCTTACAGGGAATAAGCGAGAAAGAAAGATCAGTGAGATAGCTGTTAGTTTCGAGATATGGAAGTTGAAACATTAGGGGGGAGAGGACACCACCCTGCGGAACCCCCTGTTTATTTATTCTTAACTTTGAATTTCGACCTCGAAATAGTACAGATGATAGCCGATCGCTCAGATAGTTCATTCATCGGCCGGTTCTAAACTATGCCGCATCGATACGGTCGTCTGGATACAGTGAACGCAGACGAAGAAGCTTCAGACATGTCAGAACTTGCATCTTAATGTCTCCGGTCGAACACTTACACAGCAAGGACCGTATACTCTCGGTTAAGGAACACAACGAGCTTCTCTTCAAGCAGTTTTCGCAGAAACCATCCTGCAGTCACCTGCTTAAAGCGGAACCGCCTTCTAGGAACATCAAGAGGTTCTTCCCTGACTACGTCGACGACATTGAATAGTACGCCAACCAAAATTCGGAAGCAACAATCTTCAAATATGCACTGACCGCCGTTTACAGTGGAGCCATTAACGCCTTCACCGACTCACGTTTCCTGGGCCTACCGTAAGATCACTTCGATGATAATCAACCCGAACCTTACCACCCAAGCGGATATTAGATAACCGCTAGAACAACAACAACAACAATAGCTTATGATCCACCACTTCAGCCCTTCAGTAGCGTTGTGTGATTGACTGTGTCAAAATGTCCAATACTACTAGGATTGTCCTCTCACAGCGTAGTTTTGGATTTAACCATGAACAATCTGGCGTTTATGACGCTAAGGGTTGTGGACTTTCCGGAAGTCATGTTGATGATCTGCTAAGCTCAGGTGGAGAGTCAACGTCGGGAGTAACAAAACCTCAAGTGTCTTCAACACTGGGGAAAGGAGAATTTTCAGACGATAACTAGGTTGCCGAGTTTCTCTGGTTTCAGTAAGAGGACCATTCATTTGACTTTGCAAGAGTGCTCAACAACACATTAAAGAACTTGGTTAAGAATTATACTTACGTTGAGTCTAGATGCTTAAGCATCTAGATGTTTATTCTATCTGGGCCAATGGATTTCGCCTTGCTGATGACACTCTGAACCTCCTGGCGCGCAGTCTTTTGGCATTTTGCGCGGCACATATGGCCATCGAACTGAATTTCAACATTCATTCATTTCATTGGACAAGGCCCTGACATTAGTCCAGAGCTTACTCACAACGGTGGAGAGGTTATAGGACTTCAAGTGCTCTACCCATTTCATCCGAATTTCTAAATTTAGACCCCTTAAGCGGGGATCACAGGGATGGGCCTGGCGTTAGGTGTCGCGCAGATTATTTAAATATTCTGCTTAGGGTGTAGGTCTGCTATTCTTCCAGCCTTGGGGAATTGACGCTCCCCAACGATTATGTCCGTTGGAATGGGTAATTATGGGAAGATGTTCTCGGTAAATTCTATTAAGCCGACCCATTTAGCTTTGTTGAAATTAAAAAAGGTGTGCCTTTTGTCCACAAAAATAAATTTTCGATCGAGATAATTATGGGCACATGGTCTATTGCGAGAGTTATGCAATTTATCAGACCACCATTGCCTTATTGTTTTAGTCGGTGCTATTCTGAATTTAAAATCCCAAAGCCACACACTCAAATTCAACTAGAGAAACAACATTATCTTGTTAACAATAATAATTCATCGCTTCAAATGTATATATATTAACATTTAAGGATTTATTTCATTCAAAAAAATTCGTTATTCACACTATCTTCAAATATATATGTATATTTATGTACACACATATACTGGTACATCACATCATTTTTCATAATTAAAATAAGATTCCCATATGAAATAGATTTACTCATATACTTAATTTTTAAATATTGTAATGGCATTTATAATGCATTTACGAGTATGTTAAGTCTAGAAGACAAATACATACACATTCATGTATTCATGTATAAGTAGCATTTTTTCAGGGGTTTAACCTAAGGTATATATTTTATGTCACTTTATTACTTGTTACATATGTATTGTATACTTTCACATATATTTTTACATAGATAAATTTAATGTTATATTTTTAATATATTTAAATAAAAATATTCTAAGATCTTTCGTACCGCTATATATACTTAATTTAATTCGTTTACAACTAGCATTACATTTTTTATGACTTTAATGAATAAATCTAAAATACTATTTACACTTAGTACTCTTATCCAGTAACTTCTTCCAAAGGTCAAATTGTTCATTTGACTTGACCATATGTACACTGATTAGTTTGCGTATGTTGCATGGATTAAATGCAATACGTCGATTAAGGAACTCATTGGCATGTACGCGTTTAATACCAATCTGTTGCGCAACAATTCCCGTTGTGAACACATCCTCTAGCTTCAGGTATACCTGTAGAATAATGTTATTTTCATAGTTAGTTGTTTGTATTCACATATTTATATGTATGCACGTACAGTTGCCACAAAAAAATAGAAGTGACATTATTAACAAAACGAATTTTTAATAAAAAAAACATTTTTTAAGTCTCAAAATTTTTGTACAAGACATTTACTGATGATATACATATTAATATTTCCATAGTCCATATGTTTCAATTGAACGTAAAGAAAATTTGATAACACAGTTTATGTTAAATAAACTAAAAACTAGTTCCACATAAAAATAGTAGTAGTCTATGAACTGCTATATTCCATCAGGTATATGATAACATTACCTCATCTAAGCTTTTAACATATGGAATTGAACCAACTCCACTATGCGAAAAGCTACCCCCTACCATGATTTTAACATTGCCATGTTTAACGGTTTTTTTTGTAAATCAGGGATAGATTTCCATGTTAACGGAACGCTGGACAAAGTTTCTAGAACTTTTACTAACAAATAATTCAATTTTGGATTCATATGACCACAACATATTTCGCCATTTGAACAGGGGCAGGAGCCATGCTGATTTGCAAATTGTATACGGATTTCTACGTGTTTCTTTTTTAGTAGCGGTACTTTTCGTGGACTTTTTGTTCTGTGACAATCGCCTTCAAAGAGTTTTAGTATTAACTGATAAATTTCGTTTATCGCTGATGCTGCTCCTGCCTGACGCAAAAGCATTCATTTTGAGTAGTGGCCTATATTGTGATCGTAAACAATAGTTGTTTGGCGCTTTCATTCATCTGTTTCGTCTGTATTCTTATAATTTAAGGCATTTGCTACCATTTGTGTAAAATATTCCATTTCTTGGATCTTCTTATACGTTTTTCCTAGTTTCGAATTTTTTTTATCATTTCAAACTTTACCTCTGTAGAATGCTTTCCTCTACCCACTGAAGAAAAATCCAATGATTAAATTATTATTTTTAATTAACAATTACTAATTCAAATCGCTGCTAGATCATGGAACTCTACTTACTTCTACAGGTTAAATATTATTTTAGGAAGGAAATTTCTAACACTTCTATTTTTTTTGTGGAAAGCAATTTCAAGTGCCTCCGAGAACTAGCAAAGCTGTACGAGAATAACAATCATCCCATAAAAAATTTGTTTTATGTTTTAATGTGAATATCCCGTTACGTGTTCTGCTATTGTACCTCGTCAGTTATATGTGATCCAGAATGGTTATGTACTCAAATATATTTTTCATATTGGCACTCCTATTATTTTTTGGACAACTGCAGGTATAAAAGTCAACCGGGCTACATACCTGATGGAGCGATCGTTCATAAAGCAAATGTATTATGTCGCTCGTTATGAGATACGCCGGGCCGGTGGTGAACGGTGGAAACAGTGGTTGACTAAATTGGTCGGTTGATACATAATATTTGGATTTTTTGTTACGTATGGGTTTCCATTGTTTCGCTAAGCGTCCGTATATGACACGCTTATCTTTGATATGACTGTCAATGAACTGCAACAATTTCGGCACATTTATAAACATATCATCATCTGTTTTAAGTATAAATTTGGCTTTCTGACAATGCAAATCCACCCATTCTAAAGTGGAAATCGTTTTCAATGTTAAATTAGTATAAGAGTCGATGAAGTTTCCACGAATCATATCCTCATAAATAAAGTTCTCAATACTCAACTCCTTGCTTATACTTTCATTTGTGGAGCGCCCCAAGACAAATGCTATGGATACATCACGTCGTGTGCCATAGTGTGCCCAGGTCTGTCGTATGGCGAGGCGTGCTTCAGCGTGATTTAAGGCTGACGATATAAGTATCAGTAATTTCAAATCTTCACCGTCATTTGGGCAAATCTTAGCGAAATTTATTTCCTCGTTTAAATGTCCTGACTCGTAGATTTCACTGGTGGTTATACCCTTGGTGTGGTCGACTGTTTTGGGTGGTACTGGATGGATTATCTTAGGTGGCACTTTCGGCGGAATTTTAGGTTTATTTGCACTAGTTTTGGGCAAAGCACTATTTTCACTCGGTTTTTGTGGTTTCACAGCGCCATCAGGACGTTTAATGGTCATCACTACGGATGGTGGCAAAGCCACATCACTGTTTACATCATCATCATCATCATCGTTTTCGTTGTCAGCAACATTGCCTTCCACTTTAGGAACCTTTGGGATCGCATTTTCCTCAGGTAACTGTTTGCTACCATTTGAATCTTTTGTCACAGCTGTAAAAAATTTAAGTAATAACGTTATAATATTGCACATTTGTTGTTGTACTTCATTTACTTACATTTCTCATTCGCCGCCGGCGCTGCTGTGATGTTTTTCAATATCTTATCTGCATTTTCGATAAACTTTTGCAAATTCGATGTCGGTATCATGACCTCTGAATCTAGTATTTTGTTTATATTGTTGGCGTTATCACTGGATTTTGCGTTGACGTTTTTAAGCGGATCTGGCTGTCCTTGTAACTCCGATTTAGATTGCTGAAGAGGAGCACCAACATTTTTTGCCTGTCCATTAGAAACATTTGGGTAACTTATGCTACCGACCACTAAAATTGTAAGATAATCAAAATAAGCAATTAAAACAAGTAAGGAAGGGCTAAGTTCAGGTGTAACCGAACATTTTATACTCTCGCAAAGTCAAATAGTATACTCGTTTGAGATTTCTTTGTGGATTAACTGATATTTTCGGTAGAAGGTCCACTATAGGCAGTGGGGTCCACATATTTAGTACTTAGGGGCTTAAACAGTTTTGGTTCGATTTAGACAATTTTTGGCCACAAGGTGGCATACTTTAATCGCATTATTCACGCAAAGTTTTATCCCGATACAGTCATTGTTGCCTGATTTGCATAGTGGAAAGTGAAAGAATCAGATGGAAATTAAAATGGTGTTATATGGGAAGTAGGTGTGGTTCTAGTCCGATTTCGCCCATTTTCGCAGTATGACATAGAAACATGAAAAGAACGTTAGCCACCGAATTTGATTGAAATCGGTTAAGCAGATCTCAAGATATGGGTTTTCACCTAAAAGTGGGCTGTGCCACGCCCACTGTCTAATTTTGAACGCGGTTCCTATAAAGTCATCTCATACCATCCCAGAGATAAAATTTAATGTCTCTGGCGTGTTTAGTGCTTGATTTATCGCGCTTTTAGTAGTTTTTAACAGTACCGTTATATGGGGAGTGGGCGGAGTTGCCACCCGATTCAACTATTTTCACACCGTCAATAGAAGTGCTAAAAACATTTGCTTCCAGTGAATTTTGTTATTATAGCATTAGCGGTTTAGGAGATATGCACATTAAACCTATTAGAGGCGGGACCACGCCCACTTTTAAAAAAAAATTTTTAACTGCAGATGCCCCTCCCTAATGTGATCATGTGTAGCAAATAACAGTCTTGTATCTTATTGCGGAGCTTAGTTATGGCAAGTTATTTGTTTTTGATTAATGGCGTTTTGTGGGCGTGGCAGTGGTCCGATTACGCCCATCTGCAATACCAACCGTCTCACGGTACCATGAAACATGTATACCAAGTTTCATAAAGATATCTCAATTTTTACTCAAGTTAGAGCTTGCACGGACGGACGGACGGACGGACAGACAGTCACCCGGATTTCAACTCGTCTTTTCATCCTGATCATTTATATATATATAACCCTATATCTAACTCGATTAATTTTAGGTGATACAAACAACCGTTAGGTGAACAAAACTATTATACTCTGTAGCAACAGGTTGCGAGAGTATAAAAACAACAAAAAAACGCTAACTTCAGTTGAACCGAACTTAACCAATAAACATTTTTTCATCTAAGAACTTAATGTTAATCGTTCAGTTTGTATGACAGTTATATACTATGGTGTTTCGATCTGCACAGTTTGTTCGGAGATTGTACCGTTGCCTTGAATGATATAATATGCCAAATTTTAATATAAGAACTTTTTGTTGATTGTTCAGTTTGTAAAGCAGCAATATGCAATAGTGGTCTGATATCGCCGGTTACGACAAATGAGCGGCTTCTTGGGGAGAAATGAACGTGTGCAAAATTTCCGATCGATATCTCAAAAACTGAGGGTTCGCGTATATACAGACGGTCGGAATCAGAATTGAAACCGATAAAAAATGTAGTAGGTGTAATGAATTCAGATATTATTGGTTTGACGTTCGAAACAGAAAATGTACCGGTTTTGGGTGTCACGGAAACCAATTTTATTGGGTTTGTTATTAGAAACAAAGCAAGAGGATAGTCGCTGACAGATTTGAAATGCAAGTTAAGAAAATAATTTATCGTTATTTCTATAGGAGAAAACATAAGAATAAAACACAAAATGTAATAATAATTGGTTTATGGAAAAAATCCAGATATTTTAGGAGGAAAGGAAATCTCACCCTCCACACGCAACGAATAGAGTCAATAAAACATACTTACAAGCCCTAAAACTTTTTTCTTTTATTAAAACGGAAAATTTATAATATTTTGTAGAGGGTGTTTTTATTATTTCATTTATTTATTTTGATTGCTTTCACTCGTTTGGATATGGCAACATTTATTGTTTGTCAACATGGAACCCATTTGTTATTGTGCATATAATGAAAATGGTGTACAAAATAAAATGCTTATTTAAAGCAAATATGAAAATAATTAATACAAAATAAATATGTAGAAACATTGTAGTGAAGTGTAAAAGTCTAATAAGTTCATAATATAATTGAAAAATTAACTTTAAATCGAGAAATTGCAAGATAAAATGTGTCAAATTTTCAACGAAAAATGCAAATATCTCGAAAACTATAAGTTTCTATATATATATATACGCTATATATATATTCTTGAAATCGTGGGATGGTATACTAAAGTTTCCCCAACAGCTGACTCGAATATTGATTTTGCATACGTTCGAAAAGATGAAAATCCAATCAGATTCTGTGACACCATTGAAAATCAAAATTGGTTTGCAATTCTGACAACTATGCAACTCTGTCTTGGATTCTACAACATCCCTGATTATAACTTTTAAGGGTATTACAAGTAGAGAAATTACAATATATGCTACATTAGATAAAAACATACTAATTTTCATTGGCATTATAATTATCACTGCGATATAAAACTATAAAGCAACAAATTGCATTATTGCAAAGTGCTACCGATTGGCTTCGGGACTGACATTCATGGATGCAGTGCTTATGCGCATATGTATGTACATATATATTTCAACTCACCTAAAGCGTTGTCAATATTTTGCACTTCCATATCATCAAGCAATTCGTTACCGAAACGCTCCATCTCATCGTCTTCGGGCGCCTCATCATTGACCGCATCTACGTCGATCGTTGGTTCGCGATGCTGATGTTGTTTCTTTGCGGCGTTCGCCAATGGCGCTTTCCCTACGCCAGCACCTGAACCTGTGCTAGCTCCAGACAAAACAGCTGCCTTTTTATTCAACTTCAAAAGCGAAAGGTCGCCTTCACTTCTAGGCGCGTCTAGGCGATTGCTTATTTCAAAACCACTGTCGGCAGCATCATTACTAGGTTTACTCTTATTCGTTGCTATCAGCGGCTGATACTGTTGTGCAATAGCGCCCGCAGCATCTGTGACCGAACTGGCACGCATAGAGTGCGAATGTGGTGGTGTAAGTGTCGCATTTGACGAATATGTGGCGTATATGAAAATGGTGAGGATAACTATGCTCACGACGAGCAGAAAGCGAACAAATCTTATATTATGTATGCTGCCCATAGCTGCTATTGTTTTTATTTACTATTTTGCTATTAATTGGTTTTAGATGTGGTTTTTCGGTTTAATAATTTGGCTCACTGAATTTAGTTTAATTCTAGACTTGTTGCTTTTGGCGACCATTAAAATCGCTATAACTACAAATACTTCTGGTTAATTTCCGACATTTTCCATACATTGCCGTTTTCTAAGATGTCGTTTCGTTTTTTTCTTTTGTTTTTGTAGTAAGTCTTTTATTTCGTGGTGTGTTTATTTATGCATTTATTTTGTTTTATCTTGTGGTCCTGAGTTTGGTTTTGAATTTTCAATTAACGAGTCGGAATGTCGTTGTCTTTTATGATGAATTTCAATCAGATATGATGTAACCCACGCGCTGACTCGTTTGTGGAGATATTCCTAAATCGTGTATGTTCCGTAGTTCTCAGCTGCGTTAACAAATTCGCTTTCGGCAAATTTTTTCATTCGACTTCCAAGGCTTAAGTGCTTCCAACCAGCCGCTTTTAAAACATTTTCAATATTAAGAATAAGCCTTTCAAGCTGAAGGCTTTTCTGTTAATGCCGATTACATAGAAAATAAAAAAAGAGTAATTAATTCGGTATTTACTTACTATATATTATATGTATATAGGGTACGTCGGGCAAACGCTATATATATTTGCATATGTATGTATATACAAACATATATGTTGTACTTGTTAACAAATATCTATACAAATGTATGTACATTGAAAAGTTAGGTTAGGTTAGGTCGTAAGGTTAATTCTAACCGATGGATCTCACTGGAACAGACGTTCGTACTTTGTGTTACCATTAAACTCCTAAACGTGGATTACCAGATTCTCATAGATCAGCGGCCAGCATTTCATAGCACAATTGTGCAAGCTAACTTCACATGTACGCTTACGCTCTATCGCTCAGTCGATGTCGAGACAGCGACGAAACAACATCGCACATGGTCATGTCCCTAACGAAAATGTGAATGAAAATGAAATTTTTTGTCATTATGAATGCTTTATGGTGTTTGAATTTTTGTGTTTTATGTTACTTAAATTAAGACAATAAAATAAAGATTTTTGGGGTTTAGTATATTTACTTTATTCCTACAATATATAAAATAAATCAGAAAGGACTTGTTTAAACAAAGAGTGAAGAAGATTCACAAAAATAATAATAAGGCGGTTAATATAATGTCTACCGAGATATATTTAATCTTAGTCTGGCAAAAGCCGAGCAATAAAGGAGAAAGTGACAAAATATTTAGTCGCACCGCGTGTGAAGCTATTGGATATTGTTCAATCAGTGCATCTACAATTGCGGCGAGATTGACTTTGCTAAGAGAGCAAGTAGTACGGGGGGCCTCTTTCGGTTCACTCTGGGTCAGAAAGAGCTCGCCGTCGCACAAGTTTTGGTTGTTGACCAGCGCTTGCCGAGCTCACTGGAGGTCCATAAGTACAGCGCTAGAAGACTTCGGAAAACCGACACGCTTCCAATCGCTTCCCTAGCAAACTTATCGGCTTTGCAGTTTTCGGCGATTCCGTTTTAACCGGGCATTCATACAAATCTAATACGGAAAAAGCTTAATGCTTTTGCTAATGAGATCATGCACTCCTTGACTAGTTGTTAGCGCACAGTTGGCGAGGTCAAAGCCAGTACAGATTCGGCTATCAGAGTGAATGCACGACTCTCTGAAGGAAACTGCACTTCGGAGCAGTACACCTAATGATACCATGATGGCAGCCAACTTCGGTTGAACGACGCTACAGTGATCAGGTAGTCTGAAACAAGAGTTGACGGAGAGCTCCTGGCAGAAGACTTTATCTACTACCTTCCCTCTTAACTTCGATCAACCCGCGAAAAAGCTCGATGCACCTCAGTGTGTGTCTGTCCGGAGCCCTTTATTTACTCAGCTTTCCTAAGAATAATACTTAGCAGCTTTCGGCACAAACCACCTGCCAGATATTTATACAGGTGCAAAGTGTAGAATGGCTTTGAATGTGACTGTTGGGGTCATCCTTAGTGCATCACAGATGTCGATGAAGGCCTTTCTTTGAACACATTCCAGCTGCTTAACTACGGCTTCATAAAGGCAGAACACCACTTTCGGCCCCACCTTTTCCCAATATCTCCTCTACAACAGTATAAGACGACCGATGCCTTCCTCACACTCAAAAATCAGCTATCACATACGTATGTATTTGGTGTCTGGGTTCTTCAAAAGTTATGGTCCGATTTCGACAATTTATGGGTGTAAGATGAAATAAATTGAGGGCACTATTTGTGCAAAGTTTTATTTTGATTAGGAGGGAGAAAAGGAAGGAATCTGATGGAATTTTAAAGTTTGTTATATGGGAAGTAGACGTGGTTGTTATCCGATTTCGCCCACTTTCACAGTGTATGATAGGAATGTATTGGTTATACATACCGAATTTGGTAGTTATTGTGATATGGGATGATATTAAGCCTTTCCCTAACATCTTGCTTGTGAGATTAATGCTTTTGGCGCATTTATTCAGTGAGTTATCGCACTTTTGGTAGTTTTCAATATAACCATTATATGGAGAGTGGACCTGCATATTATCTGATTTTACTTATTTGCACGGTGTATGAAGAGGTGCTAAAGAGGCTTCTTCTCATCAATACTTTAAAAAAAATTTTAGCCTACAAGTGTCACTCGCTACTGCGAACCCTCGTACAGTTTTGTATCTTATTTAAGTGCTTAGTTACGACACTTGATAGGTTTTCGTTTAACGGCGTTTTGTGAGTCTGGCAGTGGTCCGATTAGGCCTTGGGTGTCAAGGAATATATGCAGCAAGTTGTATGAAGATATCTCAATTTTTACTCAAGTTATTGCTTGCGCGGACAGACGGACGGACAGATCTTTTTCCACTAAATATTTTTACGCTTATTTATAACAAATAGAAAACCATTTATTCAAATTCTTGTTTGTGTTCTCCTTTTTTACAAAATATGTTTAGGATTAATTTTTGTTTATATTACAATCTGCCCAGGGCAGGTTTATAGCTAGTGTTTTTTCATATTACACATCTTTAAAGAAAACATTTTTATTTATTTTAAGCAATAAATTTAAAATATATATGTACTTACTAAAAATCGGCAATATTATTATTGTAAAACACAACGTGTCCAATCGAATATGTTTTTATTGAACAACTGTTAACTAATTAACGGACTCACGTTATTTACCTTGCACTAAGTAATACATGTACCGCTATAGAAACTATTAAAAATAACTTCAATTGCATAACTACAAAACTAGGCGTATTGAATAGTAAATAGCGTAACAAAAGCAATACGAAACTTTTAAGAGAAAAAATTAATGGTAAATTTAAGCATTTCAATATTATGCGAATCAAGCGCTTACCAAAAGAGAGCGTTTCTAATTAGCTGTCAACAATTGTATATATATGTACATATATACAGATTGTACATAACTATACATATGTACATAATATATGTTATTTAAAGTATGTGTATTATTTGCATTTCCAATTAAAATAAAAGGAATAAGTAACGCGAAACTACAAGAATGGAAGAGTCACCGGATATTAAATTCATTTTTGCAATATAAAAATTTCGAGATATATCAATAAAAAACAAGAAATAAGTAAGGGGTGCTAAGTTCGGGTGTAACCGAACATTTTATACTCTCGCAAGGTAAAGTGATATATCTGATTTCCATATATGTAAGTAAATTTTAATTAAAAGTAGGAAGTATTGCACTCTTTATTTAGAATCAGAGGCTAAAAGATACATTTTTATGTGAAAAAGATTTTTTCTAAATTTCATTAAGATTTCTTACATATTGACCGATAGAAGTCAACCGGAATTTCGAAAAGACTTATATTAGATATATGGGGGCTAAAGGAGACCCGATTTTACCCATTTTTTATGCAAGGGCATGCTGTCATAAAATACTAGAACTTATAGATAGACCGATCTGTTCGGCAAAAAATTAGCCAAATGCACTAAGGTTCAGATTCTTGGTGTCTTGGTCCTTGAAAAGTTATAGCTCGATTTCGACAATTTTTGGACATAACATTAAATATCTTAAGCGCACTACTTGTGCAAAGTTTTATCCCGATACATATTGGTGTTTGATTTGTAGACTGAAAGTGAAAGAATCAGATGGAATTTAAAGTTGTGTTATATTGGAAGGAGCCGTGATTATTGTCCGATTTCGCCCATTTTCACAGTGTGTGATAGAATTGGTTGGACAACCTCACTAAATTTGGTTGAAATTGGTCTGGTAGTTCCTGAGACATAGAACTTCAGTTAAAGGGGGGCGGTGCCACGTCCATTGTCTTGCTCCTATTAAGCTCTTCCCTACCATATTAGTTTTCAAAATAACCGTTATATGGGGAGTGGGCGTGGTTATTATGTGATTTTACCTATTTTCACAGCGTATGAAGAGTGCCAAAAAGAATTCTTTCCAGATCAATTCTGGAAATACCAAAAGGTGTATCTTGTTACTGCGATGTACTAAATTACAGTTACTTATCTTAATTTAGTGCTTAGTTATGGCACTTTATAGGTTTTCGTTAATGGCGTTGTGTGCATGGCACAGGAACATATGTACTAAGTTTCATCAATATATCCAATTTTATATATTTTATTATCTATCTCGATTAGTTTTAGGTGATACAAACAACCGTTAGTATTATACTCTGTGCAACACCGAAGCTGTAATACCCTTCACAAGTATATTTCTATTGAACAAAAGATAATCAAAAAATCTTTATCTTGATTTTAATCGTTCAATATGAATGGGAGCTATATGCTATAGTGGTCCGATCTTAACAATAGGTGCGCAGATTGTACAGCCGCCTTAAGCAATAAATCATGGCAATTTCCGTGAAGATATCTTGTCAAATAAAAAAAGGTTTCATTCAAGGACTTGATTTTGATCGATCACTTTGTATAGCAGCTATATGCTATAGAGGTCCAATAGCGATGGTTCCGATAAATGAGCAGCTTCGGGGGAAGAAAGGGACGTCTGCAAAATTTCCGAGCGATATCTCAAAAAGTGAGGGTCTAGTTCGCGTATATGCAGACAGGCGGACATGGATAATCGACTCAGCTCGTCATACTGATCTTTTATATATACATATATAATATCTTGTACTATTTCCGGCGTTTTCTTTTGGGTGTTACAAACTTCGTGGAAAACTTAATATATATATATATATTCAATGTTATTCAAGGTATAATATGAATACGTTGTGACGAATTAATATCCGGATGATACGGCCCGAAATTAGCATGCTTAAAACTAATTATATTAACCTGTAGAGTAGTGTTTCATTAGACAAGTTAAAGAGATACTTTTATGTGATGAAAAAGTAATTGAAAACTATAAATCGATTTTATCGAGAATTATGCTTAATCTTAGTATCTCCAGTGTGTATCAGTAAAATATTTAGTCCGAACATGTTAATCTGTTAATTCGTTATATGATACTTCGTTAAAACACTTTACTGTGAGCATACTTTTTGCTCTATATCAGTAGTTAGGAAACTTTTGTTCCAGAA